TTTATATAAAGTATTAAATTTTTATTTAAAATTTATATCTAAAAAATTAAAAATTAAATTAAATTTGTTAAAAATAAACTAAAGGAGTAATAATTATAATTATTATCTATTTTTAATAGTCAAATTAAATATACATATAATATTTTTGTACGAGGAGTGCTAGGGGCACTCGCTTCTTGCACTCTCCGGCCAACACTTTCACTGTTATTGGGCCACGTTACTCCGGTTTGGAAGAGGTTCACTTCAAATCCTGAAATGAGCTTACGTGGCCCAATGAAAGGGGAAGTGTTGGCCGGAGAGTGCAGAGGCGAGTGCCCCTAGCACTCCTCTTTTGTATAGGCATAAGGCCCATAATAATGGCATAATACTAATGCGAAAACGGTTTAGATTTGTGAGACTGATACTACATAATTGTCATTTACCTACACACAAAAATTATAATTAAATCTAAAAAAAATAACTATAACCCTCCTAAAGACTATAGTTACACATTAGATGATAAAATTAGTATATTATGTAATTAAAAATAACCAACTACAGTTACAATAATATTATTACAGTTTTTAAATTCATAAGTAAAAGTTTTAGAGAACCTATACCTACATTTACAAAATCATAGGTAAATAAAAATATCTACACTTATCAGCTGTAGGTAAAAACCAATGACAACGACAAAATAGTGGTTTCGATATTACAATTTAATATCAATATTTGTTATTGTTAAATATATTATCTAACGATACTATAAATTGTAATAAAAAAGTTTATATCGTAGCAACCTTTATGTATAAAATAAATATTTCACAACAACATCAATTACAAAAAAGTGCATATTATAACAATTTTATTTGACCTTAAAACTAATATATTATAATGGTATTGCACTTGGGCTTTCGGGCCATAGGCATCAAGCCACGTTTAAGTGCATCCCCCCTCTCGGGTAAAGGTTCGAATCCGGCCCTTTGAAAAATTGTTCAAAAAATATATATATATTATAATGGTATTTATCGTTGCAAAATATATGATATAACAACATCATAAGTTGTAACAAAAATGAAAATGAAATTTAAAATATTTTCAATACAATTTTTAATAGAAAATTAATTATTATTATTTTAAAATAGATATTTAATTCAAATAATTTTAAATAATAATAAT